GTCTTCTCATGGAGTTAACAGAAAACACCCCACTTGGATCGAGACTCCAGGACCACCTGTCGGGAGTAGAACCGGTTAAGACCGAAAAAAGCTATGATGAAAGAATTGGAACCGAAAATAACCGAAAACCAAGACTTTTTTGGTATATAAAATGTGTAAAGGGGGGCTGTTTGGTACTTGTTTTTAAATTACATGGATTGTTTATGTAAAATCTGAAATAAAAGAAGCTCAAGAGGCCCCTAATAACCATAAGGTAACGTGAGTAGTTACGTATTATATGGTATAAGTAACTAAGTTTGATCTTATTACATACATTTATCATATAAGCATGACATATTATCAAGATTTGTCGAGTTAAGAAAAGACCTTGAAAACACGACAAGAGTTTGAGAGATGTTGTATTAGACTTTTGTGATCGTGGGACGTGACACCTCATCAACAACTCTTTCTTGGGTCATTTAGGTGATGTTTGTTTTTTGAAGCGAAACGTCTGAAGTCTGCAGACTATATATGCAACCCTCCGCAGTAGAAGAGGTGAACTAAACGTCTGCAACCTATAATAAGAAGTATGTTTGTTTTTTAATGTCTGCAGGCTGCTGCAATAAACTGAAATTTAAATAAACTGATTTTACAAACTTAAAATAGTTTTATATTACAATAATTGTTCTGAGAATACATGTCCTAGACCATATATTACAAGTGAGATCTTTATTTTTTTGTTAAACATGTTATATTTATTCATTTAAATTATATTTAATTTTGTGGATGTTAACCAAATTATTGTTTAACATATAAGATATATCACGTATTTAGAGCAAATATAGAAGGCATTTTACTAACACTATTTATCTACACCACACCGAATAAAACCGATTCAAAACGTTTGTATAAAATAATTAAACATAATAATTGCTAAATAACAATAAATAAAATTGTTAATTTAGCAAACAACATGTTCATTTTGTTAAATTTTCCAAGACGATGGTTATTTATTCGGTTAGCTTCAATAGATTTGGTAATTTTAATGATTAACTTTATAATTTATTAATATTCGGTTATAGACAATGTAACACAAAAGAATATTTATACGAAATTTACCAAACGATTTTGAAATTATGTAAAGTATAATTGAATTGTTTATAATATCCTTCATATTATTATTAAAATAATAAACATGTTGAAAAAAATAAAACAATTCTATGTTGAATAATATAATTTAAAGTAAGATGAGAAGAGGTTTGAAGAAGAGAGTCAAATGTTGCGCCGCGCAGCACATGCGCAACAGTTTTTAAGTCATAAGTCTTTTAAAACAAACATTTGTGAAATGTCAAACCTTATGCATGTTATGCATGACAGAACCAGAAGTGGTCAAAAGAGAATTTTTTTTTTAGAAAAACAAACAACCCCTTACATGATCATGACACAGCATATGGCATGCATAAGCTTCCCAGCATAACATATTATTTTGATATGTGCTAGGTGAGAACATGTACCGTAATACAGATGAGTGAGAAGAAGATATAGTCAAACAAAACACAATGAATATGAACTTGGGCTTGATATAGCTTAGAGATTTACTATGTGCATTTGTCTACATATTCATTGAGATTATCCTTCATATAATTTTAAACAATTAAACTCATTTTTAAAGTTTTGTTGATTAGGGACTTTGGCTTTTATACCAAGATGGTTTGAATCTTTGAAAGTTTATTTGATAGAAAACTAATTGAAATTGGTCTTACATGAGGGATGTAACGGTGGCATTGATCGGGGCATTCCCCCTATCATCACCATCTAGTACCAAGAGAAATCTGGTGCATCTTGCATTTGAGTGCCATGGAAGTAAGTAAAAATGGTTAGTCACAATTCTAGAATGACTATCCCAATCCATCATCATGTGCATGTAAAGGGGGCGTTGGATACTTAGATTGATTGTCAATGTGGATTATTTTCTCACATCCCCCGTTTAGTGTTGGTTTGTATGGGTGACGACACTTCCATATACTCATCGTTACAATTGTCATTGATTATCGACTTTCCTTGAGTTTACACCATTGAGATCGACATATTGTTTGGTCACATGTATTCTCAAGTAATTAAGTTAAACTTATTGTTATTGACCCTTGAATCGGTCTTACACACCTACTTATTATTATTGTCGGTTGTTGGATTATCTAAGCATTAATATAATGTAGACATCATATTTCATACTCGGTTTTGAAGCCAGATTAAAAATATAACTCGCTATAAAGACAAATTCACAACTTTTAGAATACTTGGTCATAAAACCTTACGAGAAAATTGTTCCTTTTTTTTACACATTTGAGGAGATAATTCTATTAAATTAATTAGGGGAGTAAATTTACATAATAACAGAAATGGAACCAGTTGGGTCTCAGAAATAGTTGATTTAATTTAACAAAGAAAGGGGTCCTTTTTTCCTATCACATGCATGCATTAAACATAAAAAACCTGTTTGAAGAAATTTTCTTACCCAGCTGACTTACAAGATGCTTGATTTATCATCATAAAAAAAGTCACATCCATTCTTATAAATGCATGCTACATATGTGGGACCCATCTTCATAATCCACCATCCATATATATACACAATTACCACACCATTCTTACATAAAACCAAAGAAAAATAACTTGTTGAAAAAAAAAATGGGAAGAAGTCCATGTTGTTCAAAGATTGGTCTGAATAGAGGCTCATGGACAGCTTCTGAAGACAAGATTCTTAGTGATTATGTTAAGCTTCATGGTGAAGGAAAATGGAGACAGCTTCCCATCAAAGCAGGTAGGTACCCTACCCCCCTACCCACCCCACCCCACCCCCTAATGTGTAATGTTTTGCAGGTTTAAAGAGGTGTGGAAAGAGTTGCAGGTTGAGATGGCTGAACTACTTGAAACCAGACATAAAGAGAGGAAACATTTCTTGTGATGAAGAAGATCTTATTATCAGGCTTCATAAACTATTGGGAAACAGGTGGGGGTGTACATTATGCATTATGAGTTGTACCATGAAAATGTTTTGATGTTACTTGTTTTGGTTATCTGGTATGTGTGTGTAGATGGTCACTTATTGCAGGGAGGCTTCCAGGGAGAACAGACAATGAAATAAAGAACTACTGGAACACCACTCTTGCTAAAAAAGTTCATGATCTTCATCATTATAATCAGAATCATCATGATAATTCTGTTTCTAATTCTCAAGAAAATGTTAAAAGGAAAGAAAAGGAATGTGTGAGTGTGAATGAGATGAAGACAACAGAATCAATGTTTCCATTCTTCTACCATGAAGAGAATAACAATATTATTCATCCATCAAGTTTCAATCTTGATGTGAATGAAGGTGGTAGTTGTTCTTTATCGAATGTTTTCAACATGGATTTCACAGATTCCTTTAATCTAAATGATCAAATGGTGAAAGCAGATGATATGTTATCAGGTTCTTCAACTATTACTACTTCTCCAGATGTTTCCAAGGAAATTCTGGATTATTTTTCTTCTATCCCAGAAATTGGAGGAGAATGGCTATCTTCACTATGAATATGAAACTACTGTATCATTCATCTATTATCTTTTAATAAAGCATTTTTATTATAAATAGAGATTCGAATGCTTACATTAGTGAAAACATTAGTTTCTAACTGATTGAGCAGTTGCTATCATCTGAAGCATGATTGTTGCATATTGAACAGCTGTGTGTTGCAAGGTGTATTGTCCAGATAAGCCAAACTCCCCAAAGTTTGGTTCCATGTGGACAAAATGACCTGCTAATGATCTTTTTGATAGAGCTTCTTGCCATATGTCAAAAAACTCACCCATGATTTTGTGAGACTTTTCCCATGAAGAAATTGGCCGATATTCCATCTACATAGTAAAAAAAAAAAAAAGACATTCATTATACATTATACATAGTTTTTCAAAAAAGTTGAAAGAAATACAGCTTATTACCTCCATGACAATTCCCCTTAAACTTTCTGATTGAATGGAAACGACTTTACCCACCCTCAATTGGAAATCACCAAGTTGATATTGAAATCCCTAGATTACAATATAAGAACATTAATCAAAGCCCTTTTATTGAAATGGTTGTAACTTGTAAGATTAGGTGTATTGACTGAAAATGCTGACCTCAAAATTGAGTGCTACTCTAGTTTTGTAAGACTGGAGCTTTTCCATTATAGTCTGGATGGTGGAATCTGCTTCAAGAACTAATCTTTGTCCTCTTAAAACAAGGTAGTATTTGTTTGGTTGTTCTGGTAGTGATATTCCCAGAAAGTCACGTGGGAATTCTGATGGATTCGCTTGTTCTAAGAAGCAATTGCAAATCAATTATGTAATATATATATATTCATGGTTACTTGTGAAATTAAGGACCTTTCAAACCAGAAACCTCAGGATTTACCTTTGAGAACGGGTCTGTAGAAGCTGAGTGTGGCTTTCCATTTTCCTTCCTTGACACCATTGATGCTCTCAACACACTGCGAAACTTCAGCCAGTATCTGACTGTTCACGGTGTGTCCCGCATTGGGCTGCCAGTGCAAAATCCTAAATTACACACATAGGGTCGATAATTAGTTCCAGAAAAACACAGATATATACATATAGATAGGATAGATCAGGTCTAGGTGTATCTAGGTGCATACACCTTCAATCATCAACCAAAAAACAGCAAAGAAACAAAAAAAATAAAGCTTTAGAGCAGGTGCACTGTGATGATCCGATAGATTTTGGGGGTGGACTCTAATTGTGCAACGGTGTACGAAGTAGAGTCGAATAGAATTACCACTTTATAGGCATGGGGTTGAACGAGATACAACGGCGAGGACAATGCCGATAATCGATACAGTGCAATGCTCCGATGTAGTGTTTGATGGAGTCAAATGCCCACAATCTTCAATTGCAGCAAAACCCTAATCTTTTAGGCAGAAACTCTTTTTTCCCAAATATTTTTAAAATTGTTTCCTTTTTTCCATATACTTTAAAAAAAAATCAAATAGTAAATTACTGGTCATGTGGTAGTCACAAATTGTCACTCGGAGTCACTTTCAAATTTTTAACTCGGTGATGTGTTATTTTCGGACAAATTATATAAAAGTTGACAGAAATATATGTATTTACTCGATGATGTTTTAATTTCGACAAATATATCTATTTATTGTTTTACGTATTTTATGTTCATTAAAACTAGAGTTTTGCAGCTTGTTTTTCGATTTTATATTTTTCCGTATTTCTGAACAATTAAAACCCTTACGTTTGACATAAATTTTCCATTTTACCATTTTTTTGGTTCGTTAAAATCCTTACATTTGGTGAAAATTTTCAGTTTGACAGGGTAAAGTGTAAACCTATAAAAAAAATATAAAATTGAAAAATAATAATAATAATAATAATTGCAAACCTTCAACTTTAATTAACCAGAAACATGCAAAATGGTAAATTCGCAGGCTTCTCCTAAAGTTAAATGCATGCAACTTGCCCTTTATTTTGTTGCATCATCGGTGGTCCTTAAACAGTTAAATCTAACTATTTAGTTATGATCTTTTTAAAAATTACTATTTCGTCGTCAGCCTAAATCAATATATAAGGACAAAATTTGAATAAACTCCAAACTTACCTAATATCTTGATCCCTCGTATCACCTGGGGATGAGCATCGCAACTGCGTATCTGCTTTCGAAATTGGAATCGCCTCCAAACTGTCGGTTCCGGCTCCTAAAGTTATGGAACCGCCTTAAGCGGTTTTGATTCTGGTTCTCATTTTTTCGGAACCGCTACCTGCTGCGTACCCGCAG